CCAGTGTGAGTTCGTTCATGTCTTTGACAATGACTGTGTGTACCAAAAGCTTTCCCACATTGCTTACATACATAGGGTTTCTCACCAGTGTGAGTCCTTTCATGTGCTCGAAAACAGTTGTGTATCCTGAAAGCTTTCCCACATTGCTTACATACATATGGTTTTTGCCCAGTGTGAATTCTTTTATGTATTTGACAACTACCATGTGCACTGAAAGCTTTTCCACAATGATCACATACATAGGGTTTCTCCCCAGTGTGAGTTCGTTCATGTATTTGACAATGAGTGTGTGTTCTAAAAGTTTTACCACATTGTTTACATGGATATGGTCTCTCATCAGTGTGAGTTTGTTCATGTCTTTGACAAACACTATGTGTGCTGAAAGCTTTTCCACATTGCTTACATAAAAAGGGTTTATCCCCAGTGTGAGCCCTTTCATGTATTTGACAATAACTGTGTGTGCTGAAAGCTTTCCCACAGTGCTTACATATATAAGGTTTCTCCCTGTTGTGAGTTCTCTCATGATTGCCAAATGAAGTCTTATTAGTGAAGGATTTCCCACAGTGTTTACATACATAAGGTTTTTCTCCAGTATTAACTCTTTCATGTGTCTGAATATCATGTTGAGAGTTAAAACCCTTTCCACATTGTATAGCAATGTAAGTATTCACCCTACTATGATTTCTTTCACAAATTTGACCATAGCTTGCTGTACTGAGGGCTTTTACATCTTCTACAGATACAAAGGTATTCTTTTCAATGTTAGTTCCTTCAGTGCAACCACAGTAGAATTTTCCACATTGCTTACATTGATATGGTTTCTCTCCTGGCTTCGTCTTTGTATGCTTCTGAAAGGACTGGATGTCAGTGCAAATTTTTCCATATTTGTTATAGTTAGATAGTTTTTCTTCAAATCCCTGATACTCATATGATTTGAGTTCAGTGGTTGCTAACATGGGCACAGTCAGTGAAGAATGACCAATCTGGAGATTTCTAAAGGCACGGCTTTCACTTGCATCTGTACTAAATGGTTTCATGTTCATCCAATTATCTGGAGTCAGAAAAACCACTTCTTCATGTTGGTACCATACTTTGTATTCACAGCATTTCATCACCTCTTCACTTCTGTGAAAGAATAAAACAACACAGCAACCAATAACCACATATAAAAGTATCTTTTCAATGGTGATGTATCAATAGAATGCATTTGATGCTCTCTAAGAATATTTGATCATGTGCATATTGTATGCTCTAGATGATCACTTGGAAAGAGCTTTTACCAAAGCATTGGTGTTTACTTGGGTTTTTACAATTGACATAGCAATGATACACAGTACTTTCATTTTTAGGAATTAGCTAATATGTATTCTATATGCTGATAATTTGTGGTAATTATTTCTGACACCTTTTCTTCCATGACTACCAGATTGCTCTTCCACTGAGTCTCTTTACTCAATCTTAAATATCTGCCTCCCTCTATTATACCGTCTCTCCTTTATTTTCTTACTTAAGTCATATTTTGGATTTCTCATACTAAAAACATGTTACTGAAATTTTTGTGTCTGAAATATTTAACTTAATATTATGGGTTCTAAACATATCCAGTTGGTAATTGACTTTATTTCATTCTTCTTTATGGCTGAATACTATTCTGATATGTATAGGCACCACATTTTTTTCAGTGCTGGAGATTTAACTCAGAGTTTTAGCACTGATGTATATACCCAGCCTTATTTTGGGGTGGGGGGTACCAGGAAGCAAACTCAGGATCTCATGTTTGCCAGGCAGGTGCTCTTCCAATGAGCTATATCCGAGGTCCCTGTTTTTTAGTTTATTTTTTTTGTTTGTTTGTTTGTTTTTGTTTTTTTCCGGTACCGGGAACCGAACTCACGACCTTGTGCTTGCCAGGCAGGCACTTTGCCACTGAGCTAAATCCCCAGCCCCCCTGTTTTTTAGTTTAAAACAATCTTATTCATCAGTTAGTTGGCAGGCTTAGCATGAATATATGATCATCCTCCTTCTACTTCCCAGAGTCCTAGAATTCCAAGCAGGCACCATCATGGCCAGGCTATCCCATATTTCCTCAGTAACTCATCTGTTTGCAAACAGATGTATGGGCTGTTTGCAAACTAGCTTTTGTCAGTTGTGTTGCTACCTGCAAGGAGCATGTATGCATCACTGTTAGATAATTAGTTTCAATTTGGGGGAAATATACCGAGGAAAAGCATGGATGGATAAACTGGAGTTTCTATTTTTACTTTTTTGAGGACTATCTACACACATTTCCATAGATGTTATATTTCAAGAACATTCTCAGCAACAGTACTGGAAGATGGCTGCTAATATTTTGGAACAAGAATACACTGAATGTTCTGGAGGATTGCTTTAAAGCATATTAACAACACTGGCACTCATTTGGATATCAAATACTTCCACATGGTATGCAAATTTGCAAATACGGAATGTGTATACAACATTTAAATACATATCACATTTCTTACATAAGATGTTTGATATGAAAGGAGTCTTCAGAAAATAATATATAGGTTTGAACAGTCTGAAATTGGTTCTTATTCTAAATACAAACTCTACTTTATATACTCCTATAATAAATGCCTAAAGGAATTTCATTCAATACTTTTATAAACTTGCACATGAAAAATAATTTATTCTCATACATTAAATAATATCACCTGTGGCATGACATAGCAACTGCCTGCATTATAGATACTGGAACATTTCAAATATCTAATTGTTAGAACATTGATACTGAAGAAATTTAAAAATGGCCCTCATTTATATAGATTTATTGGTTTCAATATTTCTGACTCTTGAGGAATATTGTGTGAGAATAAATTACCTTAGATTTTCCCTGCAATTTTT